TGCATTAGACACCAAGGTTATTATAGTTAACAAAAACTAAAACCATAAAAAAAAAAAAAAAAAATTCTGTTACCTGAAATAAAATAAAATATTAAAATTATATATTTTATTTCATCTCCATTTAGTTTCTTGATGTACTAAAATAACTAAAGCTGAAATAAAAATGAATAAAAACGGTATATACATATTAAAAATATAACTAATAAAAATGACAAAACGCAGCAAAATTACTAAACATTTAAGTAACATTAAAATTAAAAACAAAATACAAAAAAAAAACTAATTTAAAATATTAAAAGAAACTATAATAGTATCTCAGTGATATTAAGGGCACTTTAAATCATTTTTGCTTGTCATGTTAATTGCATTAGACACCAAGATTATTATAGTTAACAAAACTAAAACCATAAAAAAAAACATTTCTGTTGAATTTTAATCTGAAATAAAATAATAATATATATATATGTATATATAAAAATAAAGTTTTTATTCAGCTCATTTCTCATTTTCATTTAGTTTAACAATGTACTAAAATAACAAGATTGAAATAAAATGGAAATAAAAATTAATATATACTAATATATATATATATGTCTATACAGACATTAAAGACACACAACAAAATTAATAAAACTTTAAGTAAAATTAAAATATAAAAATTTATTCAAAATATAAAAAACTATAATAATATCTTAATGATACTAAAATAACAATGTTATACTCAATTGGAAAAAAAAATCCAGTCTGTGTTGGATACTAATGGAGATATCTTTAGCTCTTCTCTGTTTCAGGTCACAATCAATGTTTTCTCCATCAGCAGAACGGAGACCTTTAAAACAGAGGAAAAACCTCAGAAAGAATAAAACCGAAAACAAACTAAGTGGTTATTTGAGCGATTATGACGTGCTGTAAGAGATTATGTATTGGACATATAAAATGTTCATCAAGTTACACGTACAATATGCAAACTTATATTCTCATTTATTTAGCTTGCGTGTTTTTAAATGCATGTATTTTTAAGAATATTACAGATCATAAAACATATGTAATAGGTCATTCTGGAAGCATGTGTGAATGATGCTGATAAATACCCTGTGATGAGCCGTCAGATCTGGATTGGGCTTTTCTGTGACACACAGATATGATATTATATGATTCATGAGCCCTGAGGACTGTGATCTGTGAGCCAAAACGCTCAACTTCCAGATAATCACACACACTTGCACAAAGATTTTCATGCCATGATATTATATGCAAACAGCCCACTGGCTTCTATATTATATGTGGATATAATCATAACACGTTACAGTCCTAAACATCAAACATGTAACAACCACAAGCCAGAATGACTGTAGGCAGCTTGCATTCCTGAGATGAAAACACCTCACATAATGTTTCTTTCAGTGGGAATGAACAGCCTTTTATCTGAAACACTAGTTGATCATGTTTTCTCAAATCCTGATGATCGGATGCATGCTGACATTAGGTATATGCAATCTTGAGATTCTCTTCTGATCTTGTTTTAATGGAAAGGCTGATGCATTATTGGAGGCTGACTGAAAGAGGCGTCGGGTTTGATGGACGCAGCAGACGGCTGCATGCTGACCAATAAAACAACTGATAAAAGAGAAGAAAATATAGTCTGATTTTTCATAATTATCATAATTTTCTCATTTTAATGTTATACTTCATATACTTCAATTTTTTCAGATGGTAGGCCCTTTTTGCATGTTTATTACATAATTTTCATAATTTACACATTTTAAATTTTATACTTCATGTTAATAATTTTTTTTTTAGATGGGGTTTAGTCTTTTTTTTTTTGAGGTTCATAACATTATTATTTGCATGTTCATGACATCATTTTGTAATGTTAATGTTTATACTTCTTTTTTTTGTTTGTTTCAGAGGAGACATTTTTTACATGTTCATAACAATTTTAATGAATTTGTCTTTTTAATTTTAAATTTAATTTTTATACTTTAAATATATATTTTTTTCAGATGGAGGCCAGCATGTATTTATTTATTTATTTACTGCATGTTTATAGCATAATTGTAATAATATTTTTTTTACATTTTCATTATGTAATTTTAATAATTTTAATTTTATACCTACTTTTTAGACTTCATATACATAACTTTTTTTTTCAGATGGAGGCCAAACTTTTTTTTTTTTTGCATGTTTATAGCATAATTGTATTTATTTATTTATTTGCATATTCATTATATAATTTATGTAAATTTGTAATTTTAATTTTATTTATTTATTTGTTTGTTTGCATGTTCATTGCATTATTTTAGTATTTCATTATTGTGTCCTGGGACTGCAGATGAAAAATAGCCTTTGTTTTATTTACTAAACTAATCAATACAATAAAAAAAAAATACATTTGCATTTTTTATTGTACAAAATCAGACTCATAGTGCATGAGGTAATGCATTACAACTTCACATAACTGATTTTATCTATAGTGGACCAAATGCAGGTTTGCAAACTGAAAATATTTAAATGCTGGCAAGAAAATAGTTGGTGGTTGGCACAAAATGTTTCTCTCTCTCCCTCCGTCCCTCTCTCTCTCTCTCTCTCTCTCAGGGTCACATGTTCTCGTTAGGCTCCACCCTGTGGGCGGTGCTGGATTACGTGTCGGAGGCGGAGCTGCAGGTGGACTTGAGTGAAGAGAGCAGGTGTTTGCTGAAGCAGATGCAGCGAGAGAAACCTGAGGATCGACCGCAACTCCAGGTTCATCACAGACTGAGAGCACCAGTGGAAATACTTCTGCTTTTCTCATTGTTAATATAGCATAACAATTTAATTGAAAAGCTGTATTGAGACAAAACACACACACACACACATATGTTTTGGGGAGTAAGTAGTTACATGTAGCGGAATTATGTAATTTAATTACAAAATAAATGTAACTAATCTGTTACAGTTACTGAGAAAAAATGTGTAATTAAATTAGTTACTTATGAAAATGTTAACGATTACAAAGGGGGTTACATCTGAATATTTTCACACACATACAGATTTGATTGATTTATTTTTATTTCCTATTTGGGTTTATGTATATGCTTTTTTTTTTTAGATTAACTGTTTTCTTCCAAGGCATTGTTAGATGCTAGTGTTTCCTGTCATAGCTATGCGGAAATTTGATTTCAAAAACAATATCATAGCTATTACACGGTTTCTTGTTATGATTTTAAATCTGTATTAACCTCAGAATGAACTCAAAGTAAAAAAAAATAATAAATAATAATAATAATAATATAAATATTTTATTAGTTTACTTGCATTTATTGCAACCATTAACTGACATCAGACAATATGTTTTTCTTTATTTATTTATAAAGCACTTTCACACAACTATACCAGTTGATCCAAAGTGCTGTAAAATAGAGCTAAAATAAAATAAATAAGAAACCTCAAAACACAATATAACAAAACATTTGACTTGGCTAGATAAAAGCTATTGACAAAAGATGTTTTTTTAAGCAGGTATTTAAAGTAGGAAGAGAGATGACCAAAGTGAAGGGCACAGTCTTCATATGATTTTAAACCAAACAAAATTATTTCTGTTTTGTTCTCGTTTAACACTAAAAGATTCTGCTTTAACCATATTTGTAATTCATTTAGACAAGGTCCTAAGAATTCTTTACTTTTATGCTGCAAGGGAAAATACAGCTGAGTATCATCCGCGTATAGGTGGAAGGACACTCTGTATTTCTCAAAGATAGCACCCATTGGTAGCATAAATATAGAAAATAAAACTGGGGCAAGAATTGAGCCCTGTGGCACCCCACAAGCAAGTGGGCGTGAGGACGAACTATGTTGGCCAATGGAAACACTAAAACTTCTGTTTGTTAAAAAAGATTGAAACCATTTCAACACCTTGCCCTGTAACACAACACAGCTCTCCAACCTGGAAATCAAGATATTGTGGTCAACCATATCAAATGCAGAGCTTAAGTCTAAAAGCACCAAAGCCACAGCATTCCCTTTATCAGGAGCATTTTAAGTTATTTTGGCTGTCATCATTCAAATCTGCAAGTGGTGCCGCCGGCGCCAACGTCGACCCCAGGAGGTTAAACCAAACAAAATTATTTCTGTTTTGTTCTCGTTTAACACTAAAAGATTCTGCTTTAACCATATTTGTAATTCATTTAGACAATCCAACAGAGGTCCTAAGAATTCTTTACTTTTATGCTGCAAGGGAAAATACAGCTGAGTATCATCCGCGTATAGGTGGAAGGACACTCTGTATTTCTCAAAGATAGCACCCATTGGTAGCATAAATATAGAAAATAAAACTGGGGCAAGAATTGAGCCCTGTGGCACCCCACAAGCGAGTGGGCGTGAGGACGAACTATGTCGGCCAATGGAAACACTAAAACTTCTGTATGTTAAAAAACACCTTGCCCTGTAACCCAACACAGCTCTCCAACCTGGAAATCAAGATATTGTGGTCAACCATATCAAATGCAGAGCTTAAGTCTAAAAGCACCAAAGCTACAACATTCCCTTTATCTGTTTCTAGTAAAATATCATTTACAACTTTTAAAAGTGCAGTTTCTGTGCTGTGTTGAGACTTAAAACCTGATTGGAATTTTTCGAAAATATTATTTGACATCAAATGGGACTGCAGCTGGGTCAACACAACTTTCTCAAGAATCTTAGAAAGAAATGGCAAGTTTGATATAGGCCTAAAATGATTACAATTCGAAGAATCAAGATTGGGCCTCTTTGATAATGGAGTTACTGTAGCTGTTTTTAGGCAGTCAGGAACAACCCCAGTAATTAGACTAGTATTAAAAATAGTTAAAAGATCATGTCCAACGGTATTCAAAATCTGTTTTAGAAATCTAGATGGAATGATATCTTGAGAAGATGAAGTTAGACGTTCAACAATGCCTTTATAGGATTCAAAAGAGACAGGTTGAAAATCGCTCCACAGTATCGGACCGCTTGATCTCTCAGCTTGAACAGAGTTCCCCAAGGGCAGGCTAGATCTTAATTGAACATTTTTCTCATTAAAGAATGTACAGAATTGTTCACACAGTGATACGGAAGCATCAGGAAAAATGTTGACGGGGACTGAGCACAGAATCAATAACAGAGAAGAGGGTCTTAGGTCTGTTTAAGTTGTCACCAATAAACTCAGATAGATATTTGGACTTGGCGGCATTAACAGCTCTCTGATACACATATAAGAAATCTCTCCACGTTTCATATGAGACCTGTAACTTATCCTTGCACCATTTTCGCTCTGCTCTTCTGCAAGCCTTTCTGAGCAAACGAGTTGAATCATTAAGTTTTAACGGAGCAATAAGATTCAGAGTAGACAAACATTTTTGATTGAAGCAATTAAAAAGTCTGTTCACATCCTGCATATGAGAGGACAGTCCAGGCAAAGGTGGATCAGTTATAGCATAAGAGGCAGCACATCTCTCACATGACCGAGTGGAGAAATAACATTTCAAACGAGTCAATGAAGGTGTAGCAACTACTGGATCGGGAAAATGAGAGGAAAAGAGTACCAGTCTGTTTCACTGATTTCAATGTCCGATATTTGGAATCCATGTGAAAGAGCCAAGTCCAATGTGTGGAATCTATTTGAAGAAGCTGTGCCTCAAAGCTCGAGTAGACACAGTCGGAATGGTACGTGTAATAAACTTTCAGCTGCAAGTCCTTCTCCACGTCCAGTTTTCCTGGGGCAATTATAAAAGGTACAATCCTGAGGAACAAATTCAGAAAAGGGACTAAAGTCTCCCTCTTTAACCCAAGTTTCCGTCAAAAATATAAAATCCAATTATAATTATAATAAATGAGAAAAATAAGTTTTAATAATAAATAATACAGGATAATGAATAATAAAAAGTTGCTTTTTTGTATATTATTTTATTACATTTTTTTCAGTTAATGTCTATTTTATTTCAAGTCACAAAAATGTTTTTTATGGTTTTAGTTTAACTATAATAACCCTGTTAAGAGCTTGATGAAAACATGCTGTAAGTCAGCTCGTTCTGAACTTCCATGACTCTCTGTGGAGATTGTGGAGATTTAAATGTACAATATGAAAATTTTAAGGGTGATTTGGTTCAATAAAGAGGCAGATTTCCATCATTTCCATCTTTTATGTGAATAATAGCGTATTACGTTTGATTGTGATTTGAGAGTGAGCGCTCACACTTACATTTGAGTGCATTTTAGTGTTTCTCAAATCTCTCCATTAAATTAAAGTGTCCTTGAACGCTACCAAGTGGTTATTCAAAGCTAGTGCACTTAAATGTTTAACGCACTCGGTTCTCAATATCCTTCCAGGATTGTCTAATCGATTTGCTTTGATTCCAATTTCTCTTAAGCAGTGTTTCTCAAACTTTTTCTGTCACCCTGATGTTTTAAGTTAATACTTAAGATAATAATTTAACAACAAGTTCGCTCACGTTCACATGACAGGCTGCTAACAAATAAAATATTGCATGATTTTTAGGAAGTGTTTTATTTTGATTTGGGTTTTATTTTAAAATTATTTTTTTTAATTTGACATGATTTATGATTTAATTAATTATTAGGTTTTCATCAGCTTACAACCCCCCTGCAGAAGGGTTATCATAGTTAACTAAAGCTAAAACATAAAAAAAAGTTACTTGAAATAAAATTAAGGTAAAATATAACAAAATAAAAAATTGTTGCTTTAACTAAAATAAAATAAAAAATTCAACTTATTTTATTCCAGCTATAATTGCCAAGGCAACATTTCACATTTTTACAAATTAATTTTTTTTAGGTTTTAACGGAGCAATAAGATTCAGAGTAGACAAACATTTTTGATTGAAGCAATTAAAAAGTCTGTTCACATCCTGCATAGGAGAGGACAGTCCAGGCAAAGGTGGATCAGTTATAGCATAAGAGGCAGCACATCTCTCACATGACCGAGTGGAGAAATAACATTTCAAACGAGTCAATGAAGGTGTAGCAACTACTGGATCGGGAAAATGAGAGGAAAAGAGTACCAGTCTGTTTCACTGATTTCAATGTCCGATATTTGGAATCCATGTGAAAGAGCCAAGTCCAACGTGTGACCACGAGCATGAGTAGGCTCTTGCACCCACTGCACAAAATCAAATGAGTCAATAAGATTTTTAAATTCAGTTACAAGGGGTTTAGTGGGGCAACATAAATGGATATTAAAATCACCCAACACTAAGATGTAATCAACAGTGGAATCAGCTCTCCTAGTAAATCAGAGAATTCATTTAGAAAGGCATTGTTAATACGTGGTGGGCGATAGATATTAACACAGAGAACTGGACGTACCGAATCTATTTGAAGAAGCTGTGCCTCAAAGCTCGAGTAGACACAGTCGGAATGGTACGTGTAATAAACTTTCAGCTGCAAGTCCTTCTCCACGTCCAGTTTTCCTGGGGCAATTATAAAAGGTGCAATCCTGAGGAACAAATTCAGAAAAGGGACTAAAGTCTCCCTCTTTAACCCAAGTTTCCGTCAAAAATATAAAATCCAATTATAATTATAATAAATGAGAAAAATAAGTTTTAATAATAAATAATACAGGATAATGAATAATAAAAAGTTGCTTTTTTGTATATTATTTTATTACATTTTTTTCAGTTAATGTCTATTTTATTTCAAGTCACAAAAATGTTTTTTATGGTTTTAGTTTAACTATAATAACCCTGTTAAGAGCTTGATGAAAACATGCTGTAAGTCAGCTCGTTCTGAACTTCCATGACTCTCTGTGGAGATTTAAATAATTAAAATGTACAATATGAAAATTTTAAGGGTGATTTGGTTCAATAAAGAGGCAGATTTCCATCTTTGTTTAATGATATGTGAATAATAGCGTATTACGTTTGATTGTGATTTGAGAGTGAGCGCTCACACTTACATTTGAGTGCATTTTAGTGTTTCTCAAATCTCTCCATTAAATTAAAGTGTCCTTGAACGCTACCAAGTGGTTATTCAAAGCTAGTGCACTTAAATGTTTAACGCACTCGGTTCTCAATATCCTTCCAGGATTGTCTAATCGATTTGCTTTGATTCCAATTTCTCTTAAGCAGTGTTTCTCAAACTTTTTCTGTCACCCTGATGTTTTAAGTTAATACTTAAGATAATAATTTAACAACAAGTTCGCTCACGTTCACATGACAGGCTGCTAACAAATAAAATATTGCATGATTTTTAGGAAGTGTTTTATTTTGATTTGGGTTTTATTTTAAAATTATTTTTTTTAATTTGACATGATTTATGATTTAATTAATTATTAGGTTTTCATCAGCTTACAACCCCCCTGCAGAAGGGTTATCATAGTTAACTAAAGCTAAAACATAAAAAAAAGTTACTTGAAATAAAATTAAGGTAAAATATAACAAAATAAAAAATTGTTGCTTTAACTAAAATAAAATAAAAAATTCAACTTATTTTATTCCAGCTATAATTGCCAAGGCAACATTTCACATTTTTACAAATTAATTTTTTTTAGTTTAACTTGAAGTACTAAAATGACTAAAATTAAAGAAACTAAATCTAATTCATAAAAACAATAATAAAAACTATATAGACATGTTCAAAAGAAAATAATACAAATGACAAAACACAATAAAATGACTAAAACTTTAACTACAATTAAAGTGAAAAGAGAAAATATAAAAATAAAATGTAATTCAATGTTAACAAAAATAAATAAATAACAAAAAATACCAGATCTCTTGCAAACCCCAGTTTAGGAAACTCTGCTCTAAATTATGTGATGGGAATGTTTTTCACTACGGTTTCTTCATATATGGATGAATCATGTCATGATTCATCAAACTGTCCTTGATCTTTTGAGGCGAGAGCGTGATGAAAACGTACTGTAAGGACATTTACTGAAACTAAACGCAAGGTTGACTCGTTCTGAACCTCCGCGCATTTCTGTAGAGAATTAAATAATTACAATGTACAATATGAACCATTTATGGGTGATTTGACTTAATAAAGAGGCAGATTTCTCTCATTGTTTAATGACAATATTGTGTCTTATTTTGTCAGGACATTCTCTCTCAGGCGGAGGCTGTGCTCGGTGACGTCTCGCCCACAAACGTCTGCCGCAAACTGTCTGCCATCGGCCGAAGAGTCCTCTCCATAGAGTCCGTCGCTGCTCTGCAAGGTGTGCTTTCACAGCTGTCTCATAATGCAGTGAATCTGATGCTTTGTGAGGGAACTGCAGCGGGTTTATGAGATGAGAATTAAACCCCAAATTTTTTTTTACATTTAAATTGTCTTCAACAATTAATTTTTAAATAAGAAAAAACTATTAAAATAAAACTCTATAAAAATATAATAAATAAATAATTTTTTATTTGTTTACCTGCCTGCCATGTGACCATTAACTGACATCAGAGAACAATAAATAATAAAAAAATATTTTTAAAAAGTTGTTTACCCGCAAGCCATGTGACCATTAACAGACATCAGAGGATAATAAATAATAAAAAATATTTTTATAAATTGTTAACCTGCATGACCATTAACTGACTTCAGAGAATAAATTAATAAATAATAAAAAAATAATTTAAATTTAATTAATTTATTTGTTTACTTGCATGTCATTCAACCATTAACTGACATCAGAGAATAACAAAAAATGTAAAATATAACAAATAGAAATATAATATAATATTTTATTTGTTTACCTGCTTGTCATGCAAACTTTTTAACTGATATTAGAGAATAATAAATAATACAAAATATAATAAATTATAATATTTAAAAAATTGTTTACTTGCATGCCTTGTGACCATTAACTGTCATCAGAGAATAATACATAAAAAATATATATAACAAATAATTTTAAAAAAGATATTGTATTTGTTTACCTGCATGCCATGTGATCATTAACTGACATTAGAGAATAATACATAAAAAAAATATATATAACAAATAATTAAAAATATATATTTTATTTGTTTACCTGCATGTCAAGTAACCATTAACTGACTTCAGAGAATAAGTAATAAAAATGACTAAATAATAAAAATAGAATTTAAAATATTTTATTTGTTTACTTGCATGTCATTCAACCATTAACTGACATCAGAGAATATTAAATAATACAAAATATAATAAATTATAATAATAAAAAATTGTTTTACTTGCATGCCATGTGACCATTAACTGACATCAGAGAATAA